TATGTGCAATAAGATACAACAAACATTTGACTATAAAAACCCAATTCTGTGAAATCCCCATTACAAATCTGTTTTTCTTAGGTAATACTGTTGTTAATAAGGTTGTGTATTTACATTTACGTTGAAAGCAACGTAGTGAGGAATCCTGTACTCCGGACTCCGGTAATTCAATTTGGTTACAGAATCAGACGAGTCGTAATTATACCTAATTTATAATTTAAATTTAAACTTAAATGTTTGGCTAATGAACACTTAAGATGTTTTTAAGACAGCCTTATTTAATTTGTCCTTCTTTCCGACGAGGATATTTTTTTGATTTTATATGTGGGACGAATGTTCTGGTGTTTTCTAGCTGGGGCCGGAAAAATAATGTACACAGCGGTAAATGGTAAATTGAGATATATATTTGTTTTTTTTTATTAAAAATATGATACTGAGTTTTCATTAAGAAATAATTGTAACGGTCGATTTTTCCATCGCCAGATAAATTTTAACCGAGTAATAACTTTGAATATTTTATAATTCTTCCATACTGAAAACTGACAAATGTCATTTTTATTCTACAGCTATGAATTAACTAATGATTGACAACCGGCCCTTGGTAAGGTTATACAGTTTACACACGTAACTGTTCAGTGGTACTCGAATGCTTTCGTTCATTATTATGAGCCCTGGTTCGGTTTGAAACTAGTCAGATATTAATCATGTAGTCTTAAATAAACGTCTATCGCTTTTAATCGTGACATTTTTACCAGATCAAGATTTACTCAGGAGATATTTGTTTTAATTTTGCGTTCAGAGTAAATCCGCAACAGAAAACCTAGTACATTATAATTGAACCGAACAAAACGTGAACGTTTTTTCTAACTAACTTTTTGTAAACTCAATTACTGTACATACGAACTGGTTTAATATTTTCTGGCAGTTTGTTTCATACGTGTTTATTTTAATTCCTACACACTTATAGTACCTATATAGTTATAGACGATATGGAAAAAAAATACCAATTTCATGAATACTTAATTAGTATTCTAGCAATAAAGGCAATTTCTTAGAAAGGTAGGTAGGCTAGGTACAGTCGACATCGAGACTTCAGTAACGTCAACCAATCTAGTGTGAAAAAGACACTATCTACTATTACTAAGAACTTTGTCTACCATTGTTTACTAATATTACTAATCCGTGCAGTGTGGACAGGGTAGAATACATTTTTAACCGACTTCAAAAAAAGAGGTTCTCAGTTTAAACTGTCAAACACCAAGCGGTCACCGGTGACCGCAACCTATTGTTCTATAATTGTGTCTACAAAACCGGTACTCGACGAGTTAATCTGTATCTTATGTTTGTGCGCGATTATCTCGAGACAGGCTCAAATGATTTTGATGCAGTTTTCAGAAAAGTATTCATTACACTCAGGAAGATGGTTTAGTATATAAAATAAAACCAGGTTCAAAAAGAGGGAGTTGAAGTCGGTTTTATTAAAGTTATAAAAAAAAATTCACAACTCTACTGCTCTTCCTGTGGATGTTATAAGACCCGTTTAAGGGACTACACACTGAACAGACACTGGGCAGCATCATCATCATCATGATCATCATCAACAGCCTATAAGTGCCCATTGCTTACCAAAGGCCTTTTCCCACACGGAGAAGATTTGAGCATTTTTCACTACGCTTGCTCAATGCAGTTTAGCGATTTCAAACTCATAATCACAAAATTATAAGCGCAGATTTCCTCACGATGGTTTCCTTGACCGTTTGTCGCTACGACGCTTAAATGAACCTGTCCGTTTAACTCGTTTGGGGATTATGACTAATTCTCTTATATGAATATATGTAGAATAGAATCTGACGTTGCTTTGTAGATATCCTTGCTACACTAGGAAAATATTATTTATTGCGCTGAAAGAATGAATTTGCAGCATGCGGTATGCAGCACCGCCCTCACGCTCGCAGATAAACGCTTATGCAGAAGACATGCGACATAAGATACGCACTAAACCATTCTCAACATATTTTTTTTTTAAACGTAGCCCCACACTAGGATTATCTCCTGTATCGTGGGTGCGTTTACAAACATACAAGTTCACATATAAAATGACACCCAGAACCCAAACACCAATTTGTGGATCACACAAAGTGTTGTTCCGTGCGGGAATCGAACCCGCGACAGGTTGCACGGCAGCCGGTTGCCCAGCCACCGCACCAACCGTGCAGTCAAATGCATTATGTTTCGCTCCTCCACGGAGCATCCTTAAGAGTTGTTGCCTCGCTGCAAGAAGCGATGCTCCGCATCTCTGCTGCATGAGCGTTCATTTGCTTGCTACATATAATGCATGCTGCAAATTCATTCCTTCAACGAAATAAAAAATATTTTCCCAGTTGTTAGTGAAAATTTCTTATATAGAAGAGAACACTTAGAACCCACTAAATTAAAATGAAATTTTGGCATAGGCGGATTACAAGTATGTGTTGCTCTCGTCCGTGCGTCACTCTGCAGGGGTGCCAACTGAAAATCAGTATTGGGTGTTCATTGTGCCCAGCTTTTTGTTCAACTGTTTGGCAACCCGTTCGGATTGGGCATGTCCGCCAATACCGCGCAGTATGCTGCACCCGTATATTCAGCTTATTATCTTTTTTTTCTCTCTCTCTGTTTTTAAACCTGTTTATTGTAATTTGTTTTTGTTTTTTAGTGTCACTTAAAGAGGCCCATAGTGAAATGGTCTGTGACAGGCTGCTGGTGTTGATGAAATTAATACTAGTGAGTCGTGATTGTGTTTCATATCTTTACTACATCGTATCACGAAGACATTTTAGTATTTACAAATACATTTTCTTTATTTTATAAACATGAATGAAATTGCTATTGTTTTAGACTTTCGATTGATACTACTTATGCAATCAGATGTGTTGCGTAGGATTAGTTGTACTATGATCGTAAGAGATGTTAACTAATAATTTTGTTGTTTTTACTGTCTCGTTGGCCGAGCGGATACGATTCATGGGTCGAGGAAAGCATCACTGCGTTTTAAAAAAAATCTCAGTAGTAGCACGGGATCTGGGTATCTGCTCAGTATGTGGTAATAGGCTCACCCCCTATTACATGGGACTCATAACATAGATAGTGAAAAGTGGGTGTTACATTGTATAGTGGCACTAAATGCCGTAATGTGCACCTATGCCTACCCCTTCGGGGATAAAAGGCGTGATGTTATATTACGTTATTTTTAATACTAGGTAATCAAGGGTGTGAGAAACTATCATATTATCATCATATTATCATCAGCTGCATTCTGTGACATGATTGATAAAGCTGCTTATGATAAGTGTTAAAAAATATTTTTTTCAAGATTTTACTTGTAGGTACAATATTTTACTGGGCACGAAAAATAGTATGCATAAATACTGTATTTAATAATCTATAATAATCTAAACGATTTCGTTCGATACGGAACATCTGTGAAACATGGGAATTATTTAGGCCAATAAAATTAAATAATAAATTAAATAAAAATATAGTTAGTTACCTACGTCATAAGATTCCGACATAATATTTTCTTCTGCAAATGTTCGAAATAAATTATAATCACATATTCACTGTCCAGCTTGTCAAATCCCATCATTATTTCGAAATATCAAAAACGATACGTACCTCCGTAATTTTTCATGAATTTTGTATGAGATTCTGAATTGTGACGTCATATTTTTTATGCCAAAGTTTGCTAGGCGTAAATTTACTTATATCCGTTTATGATTCTTTTATTATTCTAGATAGCTACTTCTTATATTTTTTTAGTTTGTTATAAGTTTGAAATCGCCAACCCCGACCCGCATTGAGCAAGCTTGATATAAATTAACTCACATCTTCTCCGTGCGAGATGAGGCCTTTGGTCAGCAGTGCCCACTTATAGTCTGTTTGATGGTGACAATTTTAGTTAATTTATGAACTTAATACTTCAGTGGTAAATGTAATCAATAATAAGACTAAACGATTATAAGACAATAATATTATCCCATATTTTTATTCCATTATGCTTTCGTTTAAAAGAATTCAAATATTAATTGTAATTTCAAAGCTGGGTATTCCATATTTAAATATCATTTGGTTTTATTTTTCTTTTATTTAAATACCTTGTTACCGGCGTTAATTGTAGTTCCAAAGTTATTCCATATTTAAATAATTGATATTTAACATCTGTTTGTTTTGTTCTTTTTATAAAAATACCTTATTCACCGTTGTCGTAAAAATGGGTTCGAAAATAATGTCGAACGAGCGTCTCTTGAACTTTTAACAATACTTGCGTAGAATGTAATTATTGATTTGAATTATTAATAAATGTCATTGATATGTCACGTTAATTATTGTAACCGTAGATTTTAAAATTTAACATTTCCGTGTTAGGACGGGCAATTACCAAATTTTTCTTCTAATTTCGTTGTAAAGTATGATAAAATATTCAGATACTTTTACGGCTTTTTATAAATAGGTGTAGGAATATCTTATGTGAATATAAAAATGTATTTTTATTCAACAATTCATGAAAAATAGAAACGTACTAATTAAATTAAATACTTCAAAATCGTTATTTTATCAATCCTTAGGAAGCGTAAATTGCATTAAAGTCTCAAGTATTATTTATCAACTGATGTACCTAAGAATGAATTAAGAAGGTTCTTGTTTTTTTGTAAATTACACGAAACTCCATAAAACGCGTAGGATATTCCTAATTATATCCTCGTTTAAAACAGGTATTCTATTAACACGATCCCAAATTATAAATACGACGGTCAGCGTCACTCGATTCTAAACTTAAACGGATTAAAAAAGAATAAAAATCGATTTCAATACACGTCACTTTCGGAAAAAAACAACCGACAATTAAAAAATAAATATTTCCAATCGATTGTTGATTTGTCAAAAAGATATTTGTTTTTTTTTTAACGATCACTGTAAAAAATACACACAAAATAAATATTTATATAAAAAAACACATGACTTACCTTTTATCGCAGAAGGAAGAACACGAACAGCAACTGCCGCTAAACACTCATAACTTCGGAACGCAACTTTAGCACGACGCTGTAACGCGCGGGAAACTTGCCCACAACTGATCGAAAGCGCGCGAAAACTCCGCTACTTACGCACAACCCCAGCCAATCACAGCACCCATACGCCTCCGCGAAACAAAACCAACCAATCACGTTAAAGGGGAAACACTTAAAAACTTTAATAGGTTTTTCATGTTGACACTTTTGAAATGCTCTCAAAATTATTGGAAAAATTATCATTATCGTTAGATAATTGCGTGAATGGCTTTTCGCGTATGATGCTTTTACGTTAAATGTTTTATTTGACAATGTAGTGATAAGTTGATGAAAGAGCCGACTTTTTATTAGGCCATTTTTTGGGGGATAGACGCCTACTCGTGATTATATTTCTTGTAACATAACTGTGCGTCAACAATTACCATAAATCATAGTCATCATTTAATTCTGATAAATTCATTCATTGTTGAGTTCTTACCCACATCACTAACCAAATAATAGATACAGCGTGGGTGTAATTATATGTGTAGATATTTGAACATTTCGTTCATTATTTTAATAATTTATTTAGGTATAAGTTATTAAGAATATTTAGATACCGAAAAATTAGTGTAGTATCAAATGTATTGTTTTAATTATGTTCCCTTGTTTATAAATAGAATTAAAAATTTATACCTTTTTTAAGGGGGATAATCATCCAATGATTTCTCCCGCCTAGGGTTACCTACGCGAGAGGGAGTGTCAGACTTACTGTCTAAAAACCACTCCGTTTATTCTACTGCTCTTCATAGATTTCATTTAAAAATTATTGCGATGAAAAAATCGCAATGATTTGACATTTCCAGGTTGGAGTCATTAGCTCAGTACCTACTCTGGCAGTATAGTCGACAACACCATTGTGGAGACTCGGTTGCCAAAGAAGAAGAAAAAAAAAAGTAATTAGGTATTACGAAACACCAAGGCAATCAATAGTCAAATAAACTTAAGTTATTTCTACTGCAGCCCACACATAAACCCTTTAAAAAGTTTGTGTACCTACCATATATTTTTAATCTGTTCCTTGCCACAAGTCGAGGTTTTATTTTCATCCTCAAAGAAAAACAGGAGTGTTTGCTGTTTCGCGTCTCGAGTTACAAAGTCAACTCAAAAAACTAATATCCTTTGAGAAAACTTAAATAAAAGCTTATACAAATGCCGTAATAATATGTTATTAAAGTCTGTCGACATTTAATGTCTCCTTTGCTAACTAAATGCATCGTGTATAAAGGTTTCTTCCCGCCTTTTCAGAATTTGAATAGGGAATCAAGTTATATATTTTTATTTTACTGCCGTTATAGTGGAGACCTTAAAAATGGCCAGGAAGCTTACTCTTCAATCCAATTCCAATCGATCGACATTGATATTATGAAATTCGTACTCTTGAATTGCAACAGTAGCGCCCATTGCATCCGTATTGCGTGGATATAGAATGAACTAAATGATGTGAGTTCAGCATTACCTATATTTTATATTCTGCATGTTAACTTAACAGCTTAGATTGTGGTTATATAGTTTTGACATTGAATATTTATTGAGATCATATTGGATTGAAATTGCATTGACATTGAGATTGGTTTCAAGAGTAAGCACCGTGGTCTTTGTCCAAATAGGAATGTTAGGTAGTTTAGAATATGTAATATAGGTGATTTGTTCAGTTTTTTCTAAAATTCTTATTAGTTACTAGCAGTCTAGAAAAGTGCCCCTTGTAGAGCAATAGGCTTACTTCATAACGTAAGACATGAGACTCAATCTCTCATTACCTTAACATAACATAACATCACGCCTTTTTATCCCCGATAGGGTAGGCAGAGGCATTTTGGAACTTAATGCCACTGTACAATGTAACACCCAGTTTTCACTATTTAAAATTTATGTTATGAGTCCCATGTAATAGGGGGTGAGCCTATTATCATAATTATATCGGGCACCTTTCTAGATTTCGTGCAATTACTGAAAATTTCGTAAAAAAAAACCTGTAATACTTTGCCCGGCCCGGGAATTGAACCTGAGACTTGCGACCGCTCGGTTAACGAGGCAGCATTACCATAACATAAAGACTTTCACCAATGTTTTTCCTGAAAGGTATGGATGTTTTCAAAGCCTGAGTGAATAGGTTGTGTGGCGACACACATGACATGGTACATGTCAACGGATGACGTCATAAAATCCTACATCGCACATGCGAAGTGTACAATCGAATTAACACGAGTTGAAAATCCCAACAAATAACTGTTGGGCAGAACGCCCGCCTACCACGATCACCTCGCCTGGTCTGAGGAACTATACACACTGTTCCATAAAGTTGCTTAGGCAGAGCCGCAGAGGTACTCCATCATAGACCGCATCGCTTACCACCAGGCGAGATAGTAGCCAAACGTTGACCCATCACATATACATAGAAAAAAATTCATGAATAATATAAATATGTAACTACTATTATACAATCGTCACTTTATTATGCATAATATAAACGATAGCGAAAATTTAACTCGAACAGAGAACGAATGGAGTATGAAATATGAAATTTTACGAGAATATAGTTTGTTCGTGTTAGTGTCCGTTTTGTCGCGAACTATTCATCACTCATGTAGTCATGTGGCGTTGTCTGCTCAAAAGTTTGAGATAAAAACGTTCCGGTCGACAGCCATGCGAGTAACTTTGTTGGAGATTTTATTTTACCTGAGTTTGAACATTATTTTGTAAGCATGACCTTCTACAGTTTTTATAGCATGGGTGCTAAGCTAACATAAATTTAGTAAGTTTTTTGTATGGCATAAGCCGGTAAACAAGCAGACGAATCACCTGATGGTAAGCAATTGGCGCCGCCCATGGACACTCGAAACACCAAGGCGTTACAAGTGCGTTACCGGCCTTTTGGAAATTGGGAATTTGAGGATTGTGGAGGATTCGGGGATTCGGGAGAGGGGGACTAGGGAACAATTGGGCCTCCGGTAACCTCACTCACATGACGAAACACAACGCAAACGTTGCTTCACGTCGGTTTTCTGTGAGGCCGTGGTATCACTCCGGTCGAGCCGGCCCGTTCGTGCCGAAGTATGGCTGTCCCACATTTAAGCTATTAAGTGAGTGGTTCCGGATACTACGAATTAACATGCATGCTGTTTAACAGCAAGGTTGGTGCGGTAGCTGGGCAACCTGCTGCCGCGCCACGTGTCGCAGTTTCGATTCCCGCACGGAACAACTCTGTGTCCACAAATTATTGTTCCGAGTCTGGGTGTCATGTGTATGTGAACTTGTATGTTTGTAAACGCACCCACGACACAGGAGAAAATCCTAATGTGAGGTAAAAGAACAAAAGAAAATAAAAATATGACTCTATCGGCACGGCAGTAAATAGGATTGCGCGTACGAAGTCGCCAGCAGAAGCTAGTAACAATGAAACATAATTGCAAACCAATCACTACCTACACTATACCTACTACCAATTAATAAACAGTTATTTAATTAATACAACAGTATTTTTGTTTCGCGACCGTTGGTATGAAAACGTATTTCATGGCACTGCGTCCGTAGGCAATGGTTTGTGAATGTTTGTCAAAGTCAAAGTCAAAGCATTTATTTCAATTAAACCATAATTTGGTACATTTTGAAACGTCAACAAATACAAAATAAATAGTCTGTCAGTCAGTCCGTCAGTGCAGCTAGGTGAAGCTAGGTGCATATTCCAAAACGTAGATTCGAATGGAGAAGAACGAGCAGGAAACTCCATTCGTTACTCTTTTTTAATAAATGTTTGCTTAATGAACCTATGTTAAAATTACTTCTTTGATGTCGCAGGTTTAATTTCAAAATTACATAACATCACGCCTTTTTATCCCTGAAGGGGTGCACATTACGGCACTTAATGCCACTGTGCAAAGTAACACCCACATTTCACTATTTATGTCATGAGTCCCATGTAATAGGGGGTGAGCCTATTGCCATATTATACCGGGCACAATTCCAGACTCCGTGCTACTACTGAGTATTTTTTAAATCCCTGTAATACTTTGCCCGAACCGGGAATCGAACCCGAGACCCCTTGCCCGGCAGTCGCACTTGCAACCACTAGGCGAACGAGGCAGTCAGTTTTAAAATTACAAACACAAAATAAACTGTTCAGTGTTTTGTCAATCAGATATCTTTTATGACAATGATTTTCTATCTCATACTTATGCAGTTGTAAAGGGTGCTTAGAGGGTGAGGTATACCATATTTCCAAACTCTGTGTTGTTACGCTGGAAAATTGTAAAAATACCGATATGTTTTGGGTTCATCCAAAAATCGAGTCTGAGATATATTTGCTCGGCAGTCGCTGGAGGAACGGGGCAGAGTAAGACTTATTTAAAACACGATTCTATGATGCACATATATATACAATTTAATTTTCTAAAAAACAAACACGATGTACCCTAAACTACTAGGATCTAGATAAAACAAAGTCTTCAATGTTTGCTATCTTTGTAGACAAGTCAGGGGGTAGATCAGTACCTGGCCATAAATAATGCACATCGGTGCATTTATTTAAAAATAAAAATAAAAATACTAACTCACTAAAATAAATAGGCATGATGACAGAGTATGAAAATTAAAAATCTAATTTGTCCGTCAGTTAAATAATAAAAAAATTTTAGACACGTATTTTTTAATTTGTCGTATAAAACGATACAAAGTTTTGGAGTGGGAGGTAGCTACGTCATTTTAGAGTAGTATAAATAGTACACAAAAGTGACGTCATGCGATTTTTCAAATCAAGATATCTTCGAAACTATTCGTTTCCGTAAGATAATAAAATACGTGTGTAATGTTTTTAAATAATCTACCAGACGGACATTAAAATTAGTCATCTACCCTATTCTAATAGAAAAGTAGGATGTAGTCTTAATCAGTTTAAATACCTCGATGAAATACGAGCTGAAAGTTGTCATACTAAGAAATGAAGTACATATAGATCAATAGCCTCTGGCGCGCTTTCTCCCGCTCCTAGTAATGGTAGTGTTAGTCAAAGTCAA